GCCTGAGGAAGACGGGGCCCTGGAGGAGTCTCATGTCTCGTCAGCATCAGCAGGGACCCTCGTGGAGGCTCCCATGAGCTTGTCACCTTGTCGCTAAAGGCGGCCTTGGACCTCTGCTGGGAGCCGGTGGCAGGGTGGGGACTCTGAGGAGCTGCAAAGCCCTCGGGTCCACTGCAGGCCGCACCTTTGCTGGGGTGCAGGAGCCTCGCAGCACCTCCTCTGCCCCTGGCGCTCCAGAACCATGGGCAGATGAACTCTAGTGTGACATACAAAATAACACACAGAGATTGGGCTTCAAGCTGAAGATCAGAAAAAAAAAGCAGCTGGTCACCAGTTCTCACCTCAAGCTCAGGGTGAATCCTGTCTCCACAAGCTCTCACCAATCCTCAGACTGGGCTGATCCTGTCTCCTACCAACCCTCAGACTGCTATCTCTCCTCAGTGTGGCTGGAGAAGGAACGCCTCTCTGAGACCTTGCTTCTGCCTTACATACTTCCCTAATGTTGGAATTAAAGGAGTGAGCTATAGTTCTCTTTTAGACTCATTCACTCTTGTGTAGATCTGGGTGGCCTTGAACTCTCAGAGACCCATCTACCTCCGAATCCCGAGTCCTAGGACTAAAGGTGTGTGTCACCACCTCCTAGCTTCTGGCTGCTGGGACTAAAGGCATGTGCCTGGCTTCCATGGTTTGTGGCTGACTTTGCTTTCTGAATCCTCAGCTTTAATAAATCATAACCAGTATCTCACCACACTCTAGTGTCGGATACAGAGTCAGGCAAAGCAGCCTGGATACAGGTTGGCGGAACACAGTCAAATCTTAGCTTTCCTCTTAGTCTGATACTAACTCATTCATCTGCAGGACGGGGAGGGCAGTGTTGTAGTGATGGAGGGAGCCCGCCTCCACCGCCCCATCTGGGTCCTTGGTGCCAGAGCTGTGCGTGATAATCTCACCATGCCTCACTCCCCACAGCCCGGCGGATTCATGTCGGGTATGACAGGAAGGAGACGCCAGAAGCAGGGACTCGAGAGTGGCAGTGACTCTGGTCAGCCTATCCACGTCGGCCACCTCTGAGGTTACCAATCACAGCAGATCCCATAGGTGCCTCTCTGTGGGGGCGCTGGCACCTTAGGCGGACTTTGCACACTGGAGGTGTACGGGACACAGCTTAGGCGCCTTTACGTGGTAGTGGTAGTCCTGGCCCTTTCAGAAGAGACATTACAAGGCCTGAGTTAGGCGTGTGACAGTATGGCAGACAGGAGGGACGGAATCCAGGAATGCTGGTGTGGACGGTGCCATGGATAGCCTGGGTGTGGACCCCCTCAGACTGTGGGAGGAGTCAGGGAGGATGTGGGTCAGGCATTTAGCTGGGGCTGCCAAACAGCTGATGGTTTATGGGAGAGGGTGTGGCCAGCAGACCAAAGAGATGCCTGGGGGGTCACTCGGTGACTGTGCTGATGGCCTTGGAACCACAATATGGACAGGAGAGGTAGCCCCAAGGCTTCACACTCCCCAGCAGTGAAGCTGCCCGAGGATCTTGTCTCCACCCACCAGGATAGGAATAGCATCCATTTCACTTCCCAGGTTTGGGGGGACTTGTGGTTAAGGTTAGAGTGTCAGCACAACTTGGCTTGGGGACTCCTGTGAGGTGATCAAATCCTTATGAGCCCTTCCTGGGACCAAGTGATGGGGTTACCTTGGTGGCCAGAAATTCTGCCTTTTTTCCCACTGTTGATGCTATCAGAAGACCTGGCTGGTAGTTTCCTCCCTTCTGTTTTGTTCATGTGTGTGTGTGTGTGTGTGTGTGTGTGTGTGTGTGTGTGTGTGTGTTATGTATGTATGTACGTATGATGTGTGTGTGTGGTATGTGGTGTGTGTGTGGTGTATGTATGTAGGATGTGTGTGTGTGGTGTGGTGTGTGTGTAATGTGTGTGTGGTATGCGTGTGTGTGTGTGTGTGTGGTATGTGGTGTGTGTGTGATGTGCATATGTGATGTGTGTGTGATGTGTTTGTGGTTTGTGGTGTGTGTGGTGTGTGTGTGTGATGTGTGTGTATGATGTGAGCGCACACTTTCACTCATGCCCAGGGTCCAATGGAGGACATAAAATGCATTGCTCTCCTGAGACAGGGTCTCTCATTTCATGTGGAGTGGGGCCGTCAAGTCCCAGCTATCCTCCTGTCTCTGCTCCTCTCTCTCTGAGTGCTGGGTTACAGGTACCTGCCCAGCTATGCTTATGTGGGTACTAAACTCAAGTCCCCACGCTCGTGCAGGAAGCTCTCTTACCTGACGGACACCTCCCTAGCCTCAGCCCCTTGCTGAAGTCTAACGTCTGTCCAGAAAAAGTCATCTGAGTATATGTGGGCTTGGGGACAACTGTGTGCGTTCTGTGGCCACTGCCACTGTTAAGACAGAATACTTCTGTCAACACAAGAACTTCCTTCCGGCTTCTGGTAGTCATCTCCTTTCTCACCCCAAACTCTGACCCCACAAACCTCTGCCTCTCCAGTGTCACTGAGAAGCAGCCATGTAGTAGGCGACCTTTGATGCTGGCTTTTGACCCTTAGCATGGTGCGTTTTCCCTCAGAGCAACTGTCACTGTGCTGACACTGCCGCACGCACCCCTTCACCAGCAGGCGCATACGTGAACGGTTTGGGGATGACCATGAACCAAGCTGCTATATACCATGTGCAGATCATAGCTACTCACGCGCTCACTTCTCTTGGGGGAACACCCCCAAGTGTGAGTGTCCTGTTGTGGGGAAGCTGCCCCCTCAGGCAGACTGCCAACCTGTTTTCACCTCAGAATGGTTGTGTTCCAGCATCAAATAAGGGCTGAGAGCTCTGTGTATGTGGCCGGGAGGGTTATAACTGTATATGTGTGTGCACTTGTGTCTGGAGGCCAGAGGATGTATGTCCTGGCCTGTCACTCTCTGCCTTATTCCCTGAGACAAACAAGCCCCAGCAATCCTCCTGTCTCTGCCAGACTCAATACTGGTATTACAGGCGCTAGTGCAGCCATGCCTGGCTTTCTGTGTGGTCACTGGGGATTTGAACTTGGGTTCTCAAGCTTGCATAGTGAGCATTCTTAGCCACTGAGCTCTTGCTCCAGCTGCAGCAGCAGGAAATTAAGATTCAAGATGTGTCTGAGGACAACTGGGTGCCTCCTCCAGCCAGGGTACCTAAAACTACTGCTTTCTCTGTCCTTTACCTGGGATGACCTCCTGCCCTTCTCGTTACCCAGAGTTCCCTTCCTGGGATGACCCCTCACCCTTCACACTACCTACAGGCCACTTAGGGAGCCCACTCAACTCTCTGGGACTCCCAAGATATTCCAGCCCTTTTGGTCTGATGGCTGCTGGAGCCCCTGCACCTCTGGGCAGTTCTAGAACTTGCTGTCTTCTTGAAGAGAGCAAAACAAACCTTCCTCACACTACCCCACAAGAACTTGTTCTGGAGAAGTCCAGAGGAGTGTGCCCAGGGTAGCAGCTGGTTCACGCTGTGGAGCTTGGTGTCTGGGGCCCTCAAGAGAAGGAAGCAGAGACGAGAGGTGACACAAACGGCTCGTCCTCTAGGGTCTCCAGGGTTGCCCATTCCTGTCCCCTCCCTGTTTCCGTCTCCCCTGTCCCCCTCCCCCGTTGAGGGAGTGGCGGGGTCTGTGCAGGGCTGCTGCTAACCACATCTTGCTGCATTGTTAAGTTGTTGTCTCACGAGGACTGAAATCTGAGACACCCCAGAAGCCCTGTCATGGGTGGAGGCACCCCTCCATCTTCTCCTGCCCTTTGATGTCCATGACTGTTTGCTTACGATGACAGGACGGGCAGGCTTTGTTTTCTGTAAGACTGGCGGGCACGGGAGCTGGGGAAGAAAGGGTACTCTCGCTCCTAGCCCATGCCAGGATGCCACCCAGCTGATGCCACCCAGCTGCTGGTCCTGAGGCACAAGCCAGCCAGTGTCCCAGGGAGGGAAGTGTCACTGGGTCAGTGAGTTGACTGGTTCTGTTTGTCTCCTGGCTGCTATCTATATGTCTATAAGGTGCTCGCCCTCCCCCAAGCCCGCCCTGCCCTGTACCCCACTCCAGTAGCAGAAGAAACTACTATGCCTCGTGTGGCACCCCCAGTGCTACTGGCGCAGACGATGTTGAGCAGGGGTGAAGCCTGAGGCACATAGGGATGGCCGTGAGGGAGGGACATTATGTCCTTGACACTGAGTCTGACGCTGACTCCCTAATCCAACTCCACCTGAGCCCTGCCTCACCAGCTGAGACCCCGTGCGGCCGTGTCTGTGTTCTCCTCCGGGGTCTTCCTGAGAGGCAAGCTTCCTGGTGGTTGTTAGGGTGGTGACCACTGTGTGTCATCTAGTGTGGTGATTTCCACCAATGCCGGTGTCCTGGGAAGGAGCGTTGGCTTCAGGACAAGAGCCACATGTGTTTCGTGTTTGTAGCTTCAGTGCCAAGGACAGAACTTGGTATTGAGTAGACAATGAGGGATCATGATAAGATGAGTAAAAGACGCTGGTGGTGACAGTGAATGGCGTTGGACAGGGTGGTGGGAGGAAGTAACCGCTAGTGGGGAGGCGGGGTTGGACGGCTAAGGGGTGTCCCAGTGGTCCTCAACCTTCCTGGCGCTGTGACCCTTCAATACAGCTCCTCACGCTGTGGTGACCCCCACCATGACATTACTTTTGCTGCCACTTCATAGCTGTAATTTTGCTACTGATATGAATCGTAAGGTAAATATCTGATATGTAGGATGTCTGATACAGGACCCCCAAAGGGGTCGCGCCCCACAGGTGAGAACCGCTGCCGTGGGGTGGCGGATGCGGAGATAGTGATTAAGGTAGCAGGAAGGATGGCGGTCACAGCTGGCTGTGCTGGGGAAGGCGGGAATGCTGGCCTGCGGTGTGTGGTGTGGTCGCTGCTTCTTCCCTGGCCCTCCCCTACGAGACCCTGACTGGGCTCTTGGTCCTGTTCCGTTCTCTGAGGCTGTGGCCTGTTCCTTTGCAGACTCCATCGGAGGCTCCTTCCCGGCCGCCTCTCGCCGATGCCATCACAAGCAGAAGCCCTGCCCTCCTGTGCTGTCAGCCGGGGGGGCTCCCGGCCACGCCGCTGCTCTTCCACCCCCACACCAAGGGCTCCCAGATCCTCATGGACCTCAGCCACAAGGCCGTCAAGAGGCAGGCCAGCTTCTGCAACGCCATCACCTTCAGCAACCGTCCGGTGCTCGTCTACGAGCAAGTCAGGCTGAAGGTGGGCGCCCACCCCCCCCACCCCTGCCTTTGACCTCTTTGGCCTGCTCTTCTGCTGCCAGCAGCCTGACCCCTCTCCCCTCTTGCTTCTCTTCTCTCATCCCGACTCCTTTCCCGGCCTCCCTGGGTACCAAGACTCAGTGGGAGTGGCCTTCACTAACCTATAGGAAGGGCCCCTGGGGTGGGGGGGTGGGAGGGAATGAGCCGCACATTGAATTTCCTACCTGTCAGACACTCCTAAGAGTTGGCTGAGGGTGGTCTATAGTGAGCCCACCCCCTTCCCCTTGGCCACCTGACCAAGAGGGAGAGGCTGAGGGTTCTCACTCCCTGTGGCCAGATCACCAAGAAGCAATGTTGCTGGAGTGGAGCCCTGCGACTTGGCTTCACCAGCAAGGACCCTTCCCGCATCCACCCCGACTCGCTGCCCAAGTACGCCTGCCCGGACCTGGTGTCTCAGAGTGGCTTCTGGGCCAAAGCTTTGCCTGAGGAGTTTGCCAACGAGGGCAACATCATTGCCTTCTGGGTGGACAAGAAGGGCCGTGTCTTCTACCGCATCAATGACTCGGCTGCCATGCTTTTCTTCAATGGGGTCCGAACAGCTGACCCACTCTGGGCCCTGGTGGATGTCTACGGCCTCACGCGGGGTGTCCAGCTGCTAGGTGAGTGCCACCCCTCTGTTTCGTTAGCTTTGGGGCATAACCCCTAAGAGTTCAAGTGCTGGGACTGGCCTTCATTCCCACGAGTCATGGGGGCTGCATAGAGGCTAAGGGGTCCAGGAACAATTCCAGGACTTTCCTAAGAACTGCAGTTTCCCCCTCCTGGCCCCAACTTTAGCAAGTGAAGCTTAGCAAGATCATTACCCCATGATCCCACCCCCCAGGCCCTCACTCAGTTGGGTACAACTTCCACAACCAGAAATTGCAGCCCTGGCGAGGTTAATGTTGCTTTCAGTGACCATAGTCTCAGCCACCCTGAGACTATTTGAGGAGACTCATATTCAGGGATGTTAAGTTCTTCATGAATGGGTGGTGTAGCCAGTTCTCCATACTGGGTCTACCCAGCCCAAAACCCTGGCCTACAGCTGTACTGCCACCTGGGCTCCATCCTTACCCTGGGGCTTTCTGCAAGGAGGCTAAGGGAATGGGAGAGGGGAGCAGGAGGAGCCAGCCTCAGCCCAACTTAGGCCTTGCATGGGAAGGGGAAGGACAGACATCCCATAGGAGCTACTGGGGGAAACATCAGAAGATGAACTGAACCTGGTTTGCCAAGGCGCAGGCTTCCCAGCCATGGCATCTGCCAGGGCCGCCAGAGACCTCAGACTGCATAGGGTCACACAGGAAGCTGGTGATGGAGGCAAGTATAGCCCAGCCTTTCTTCCCAGCTTGAAACCCGAGTGCATGTGTAATCAAGTGTGTGCTTGCAGACGGGAACTCTACATACAAACAGAGCCTGGCCAAACAGCTCCCTCATCCGGAAGACAGGTCCTGGGGGGAGAGTTCTGGAAGACAGGTCCTGGGGGGAGTTAAGGAGGCAGAGCAGGGTAGCTGCACTGTCCTAGGTGTCAGAGACATGTCTAGCCAACACAGGCCACCTCTGTCCCATCCCGTCACTCCCTCTCTCTGCAGGGAGGAATGCCACAAAGGAGGTGGGGGGTTCAAAACCCGTTTCCGTTTTCCTTTCTGCCTTCTAAGCCTAGAAATTGTGACTGTTTTCAGAGCACTTTGACTTGAGAAAAAAAAAAGGAAAGTAAAAAAAAAAAAAAAAAAGACATGAGTAATGGCCAGAACCAAACACCAGGAGGCTGTTTTTGTTAACTAGCAGTTAGGGAACTTTCTGTTTTTCAAGTCAATAAAAGTGTTCCTGTATTCACGCTGACATGATGAGAGCCCCCAAACAGGCTATTCCTGGAGACAGCTACTGAAGAAGTATATCTGGACTGTCTGGACAGTCTCCCCCACTTCCTCTATGGACTGGGTGCACCTAAGGGACTCTACCTGCCAGAAATCGTGTGCCTTAGCTACAGAGACAGACCTGAGCTGGATCCTGGGCCAGCGCAAGGGTGCCTGTGCCAGGGAGTGGACCCACGTGTACTGTGGGCGGCCTGAAGCTGTGAACTAACTCACAGTTCACAGGGCCCCTTCCTGCTGACCGGTGTCCTCTGGGTCTCATTCTGAAAGGCAGTAGAACTCCAAAGCCCAGCCCAGCCCCAACCGTCTGCTCTGAAAAGTGTCTGTGTCTTACCCCGGCCCCTGCCACATGGTGAAGGGCAGGGAATGAGTGACTTCCTGCTCTGGAGAAGGTCACCATCCTGTTGTGTGAGGGGTGAAGGGGTGGGAGCAACACTCTTAGTCCTCCCTAAGCAAAGAATACTCCTCCCTCCTCTCCAGGACTAAGAGCTGGCCTCCAGCAAGCTAGGTCAGTGTTCCACCACTGAATGGGAGCTTTGAACTCTTTGTTCTGCGACAGGGTCTCACTGGGTTGCCCAGGCTGCCTGTGGACTTGCATGTTCCTGCCTCAGCCTCCCAAGTAGCTGAGGTTACAAGCCTGGGCCACCAGCTCTGGCCAAGAGTGCCTTTCCTCTCAGTCTCCAAGGCCCACCTTGGAAGCCGCCTCCTCCCCGAGGCCTCTGGTTAGAATTTTCCTCTCTGTCCTGTTCCCACCACAGTTCTGTGGTCTCTGGGAGCCTCAGTCCATCCTCATGTTTGCTTGCCCATAGGACAGGAGTTCCATTGAGGAAGGGACCCAGGTCCTTCCCGCACTGCCTCCCTGTCAATCACGACCCCTTTGGGGTATGGAATGACCCTTTCACAGGGGTCATTTAGGAACATAAGAAAACACGGACATTACATTAGGATTCACAGTAGCAAAATTGCAGCTACAACATAGCAGCAAACATGCTTTTTATGGTTGGGGTCACCATGACCCCAGGGACCAAGAGGGTGGCAGCATTAGGAAGGCTGAGAACCCCCGCTCGAGAGGAGACGACCATATCCAACTTTGCAAGCCTTGCTGGGTTTCAGTTGTAACACGGGACGGGAGAGTGGAGTCTGACTGAAAGGGAGCTCTGGGAAATGTTAGCTGAAGAAAAGAACAGGTGGGCGGGGCTGAAGGAGCCAGTCAGACAGCGCTGGGCTCACTGGGCAGTGAGGGAGGCAGAGGAGAGGCCAGGACTCAGTCACCAACCTGGAGGGAGTTGTAAATCGCTAACCTCTGTGGTCATAGCATCCCTTACATCCGCTGGGACGCTTCCATCGTTAGCTCACTGAACCCTCGCAGGAGAAGACCGAGAAGGCCTGCCCTGCCCATGTAGGGATGTGCTCGAGCTGGCTCTGAACCAAGAGTCCCATGAGAAAGCCGTGCCTTTCCCATGGCCTCCGGCAGGTTTACGCATAAAAGGAGCCGGGAAGTCAAAGGGGGGGGGCTCAGGTCTGTGGCGGTAGAATCTGGAGAGACTTCTTGTAAGAGGAGGCTCAAGAGGGCCTTATACACTGTAGGAGACTGGACTGGACAGGTGGGAATGAGGGGAGACTGTGACTTGGGGGCTCCAACCTTCAGGACAGGTAGGGGTGGAAGCTGGAGATGAATCAGCAGGGCCTCATGCGGGCGCTGGAGCCCGGGCTGTCCAACCCAGGGTGACCCACACCCCTTCTGTGACTATACATGGGTTTGCTTAGAGCAGCTCAGTTGCCCTTGGATCTGCTGCAGGCTACTCTGCTGAGGCCTGTGACTGCTGTCCTGGCGTAAGTCACCAGAGTCCCTGGCATTTCCAAACAGGGATTATGGCCCCTAAAGTCAATTAGCAGATTAACATAGTTCCTCATTTTGGTCCTCCTAAACTAATTTGTGGGTGTGTAAAACTCAAGAGAGGCAGAGGGGGAAGGGATAGAGATGGGGAGGAGGCTGGGGGAGAAGATAGGTGGGAAGAAACAGAGGTAGGGGCAAAGGCCTGGATCCCTCAGGGGTCTCAAAGGCGGCCCTGGCCTTACTCTGACCGAGTGCTGAGATCCCAGGCCACCATGCCCAGCACATTTGAATCTTTTGTTGTCCCCCTCTTAGCAGCTCTCTCTGAAGAAAGTTGTTCCCTTTCTTGGTGGCTCTGAAAATAGGCCAGTCACTCCTGGGTTGACTAACCCCCAAAGATTATTTGACCTTTAGGAACTTCCTCCAGGTTCCCCTGGCCCCTCCATCATGTGGGTGGAGCCCCCACCCCTGACCTGTCCAGCCGTCAGCACACAAGTATACTCAGGTTCTTGGTACTCTGAGTGTAGCAGGTATGCTCACATTCGGTATTCGAGCCAGCCATAAATGGAGGGGCTGTGTGTCCCTGAAGAACGGACAGTCTAGAGGCTGGGCTCTTAACCCTCTCACTGCAGCCCACCCTCAAACAGCAGGCCGATTCCAGGCTTCCAGGTCACTTCCCCATGTCCTGGAGCTCGGTAGCTCATCCTCTTTCCTGTGGGTGCCCCGGCCTGGACCTGGGATGGCATCTCCAAGAATAACAGCCTGGTGCCTCCAGGAAGAGAAGCCTGCCAGCAACCAAATAAACACAAGTTTTATGGGGTGATTAATACTCCGAACAGATAAACTTCTATCCCAGTTTCTTGTGGTCTTCCTGCTTCTCAACTTGGTGTGGAACACAGGCCTGTAATCTCAGCATTTAGGAAGTTGAGGCAGGAGGATTGTGAGTTCAAGGCCAGCCTGGACTACCCGAGACTGTGTCCCCCAAAGAAAAAAAGGTAGAGAGAGCAACTATGATCTTGCAAAATGCTGGTGAGCACAGACTCCACTCACAAGGTGTCCTGGTCATTGTGCGGTGCCTGCCGTGACCTGGGCTCTCCGCAGAGAAGGGAGAGTGATGGGAGAATTGAAAACGCGGCTCCTAACCCTGCTGGGTCTTGCACCAAGGGATTTGCCATATCAAAGCTATGAAGTGGCCCAAATCTCATTCCACACTTGAGTGTGACCTGAAGCGTCCAACTGTAGGTGCCGCTGGGGACAATCCAGGAGGACTTCTGTGAGGCTGAAGAACAGTTTAGCCAGTGGACACTGGTGGGGAAGTTCGTTCTGGAAGAAAGGCAGCGGGCAGCTTGTGGCCTCAAGGGTTGCTCACAACTGGGTACACACGCACGCGCACGCACGCACACACACACACACACACACACAGCTCTTTGAGTTCAATGCTGCAGTGGTCCCTATGCTGTCTGGGTATTTAATAGGAGAAACTGTGGGGAGGGCGGTACCAGGCCCAGGGTGGGGCAGGGAGGGTCTGCAATTTGGATCCCTCAACCAATGGACATGAGGATGAGGTCAGTGTGAGCAGACCTGGTGCCACATCAGAGTGGTTTGGCAGAGTCTCTGGGGGCTGGGAGTGGGGACTTGCACGGGTTCATGCCCTCCTACCCCTCTTCCCAAAGCGTACTTCCAGGTCTGGGTGGAAAGCCTCTCCTGCATGAAGACTCAGGTGGCTTTGAGCCAGATTCCGAGAGGACTGCTTATCCAAGGCAGTGGCCCAGCTTTGCAGCCCTGCATGGAGAACCGCCTCAGCCCCTTGAGACAAGGCCTGTTTCAGGGGGTCTTGCTACATCAAACGATATTAGTCTGGAAGGAACCCACAGCATTTCATTTTCTGTGGAAACAAAAGCAGAAATTCTTTTTCCAA